GTCCCCGCAGCACCACGAGCTGACCTCACTCTTCGAGTGCCCGGTCTGCTTTGACTATGTCCTGCCTCCTATCCTGCAGTGCCAGGCCGGGCACCTGGTGTGTAACCAATGCCGCCAGAAGTTGAGCTGCTGCCCGACCTGCAGGGGCGCCCTGACGCCAAGCATCAGGAACCTGGCTATGGAGAAGGTGGCCTCGGCCGTCCTCTTTCCCTGTAAGGTAAGCCCAGGTGCCACCCGCGCACCTCCACCCGGCGACCTTCCGGAACTTCGGTGTCCTCTAGCCCACTAGCAGGCCCTGAGAGGCGAGCGGCATCTCTCGTATTTAAAAACAAAAATCTTTACATTTGTCGAGCCATCCTCTCCTCCCAAGCCCTCCTGCCCACTTTGTGAGTAGCTCTGGGCTGACACTTGCCCAGACACTGACCCCAGATTAACTGGCATTCACTTCTTGTTAGAACACGTCGCCCTTCCCCCTGCCTGGTGCCAGCGTCCTTTGCAGATGAGTACTCTGGTGTGCTCTGTAGGGCTGGGCCGCACAAGTAAAACTTGGACCAGGAAGCTGCCTCTCTGTGGGGAGTTGAGGAGCGAGAAAATGGGCGAGCTAAACGCACCCTTTACCAGCACATGGCTTGGCAGAATTACTCCTGGACTCCTGCTCTTCGCGCCCGCAGTCTGCGCACCCCTGACACGTGGGAACTCTGGGGAGTGTGGCTATAAAAAGGGCGCCTACCGCCTGTTTTCCTCCAGCTTCAAGAAAACCCTGCAAGCCACGCCTTTCCCTCTCCTGGCCTTCCAAGGACTAGAAAGGACTGGGGAGTTGCCTGTATTTCTTGTTCTAAGTGAGGTGACAAGAAGGGTCTCTCAGGAGTTTAACAGGAAGGACACGCAGAAGCTGCTGTTACAGTTCTTTAAAGCCTATCGCTTTATTTATTTAGTTTTTTAGTTAAAAAAGTTATCAGCACTCTTGCAAAAAATGCAGACCACACAGGGAGAAAAACAGGGAAAGAAACCAAGACCTCTCGCCTCTTCCGCCCTTGTTAGGTTTAGCGTGTGTATTTATGGACTTTTTCTAATGATTTCTAAATGTACTCTTGCAGCCAAATATAGAATCCTAGATGTCTGTGTGTCAGGAAGACTTATATATACATGCACAAATAGACATAGTTTTCCTCCAAAAATGGCTTCTGCAACTTGCTATTTTTAATTCATATTATCACACATTTTTTATGTCTGAAATTTAGCTGTACCATGTTCTATTTCAAATGGCTGCATAGTGTCAAATTCTGTGGTCATGTTGTAACATCTGTGTACCTACATCTATCACTTAAAAATATTCAGGAGCAATTTCACAGGTATACTTGTCTATTTTATTGTCTCATGATAACCGAGAGCTACTCAGTAAACTTCATTTTCTGAACTTAGAAATGGAAATAACATCAGTCATACTTCTGGGTTTTTATGGACAAGTAATTTCTCTGTCTTGCATTTCTCCTTGGTGCTGCTTCTTTTATAAGACAAGAGCTCATTTTTAAATTAAAAATAATCCACCAGAGGGTCAAGGCTTGGGATTCAAGTCAGTAAAATGAGTGATTTAATCTGGTGTGCCGCCCCGCCATGAATCAAGTTTAAAATAGCATATTCAAATAAAGGTTTGCATCAGTGTTTGGACTGTTGAGTTTCAGTCACCCATAATAAATTGCTTTAAACCTATTCTCATATGCTTAGTTATTCACCCAGCCCAATAATTGTTTCTTACAAAATTTAGATTAAATATTTCCATAATTTTCTTAGAGTCATGGCGAAGCAGGCAACCTCGTGGTTGGAGAAGAGTTGGTGATAGTTGAAATAGACTGGCTGTTTGATGTTGGAGATATCGGGGGAAGGGAGAATGCCCCTCAGGATTTCCGGAGAACCATCTTCTCAGCCCTTCACTGTCTCCCAAACCCTTCAATGTGAGGCTAACAGAAAAAATGGCTTCAGGTGAACTGCAGTTCACAAATTAGCATTTAACATCAGTATTTCATAATTTATTTTTAAAAAGCCATCTTGTAAGAGCACCGGGACTACTCCCAGGAGAAAGGAAGGGAAGCGGTTGTAACATGATATGAGAAGTGTGAGCTTTCACTTTCGGGATCTTGAACTTAGGCTTCTGTGGAAGCATAGGTTCTCCCCCAGCATAGGTTCTCCCCCAGCGTGTAACATGCCCGTGACGTCATTCTTGAAAAGCAGTTCTCTTGGGAATCAGGAGTACTCAGTCTTTCTTATGACTTTTCCAAATCCCTGTTTTATAAAAATGCAGCTGGGCAAAGCCATCACTTTGCAAGCTAAAATGTAAGACTCAACTATCCCCCTACAGATCAGGAAGCAAGCTTAGAAAAGCTCACCCTGGGCCCACTTGTGTGTGCACGCGTGTGTGGGTGCTAAGAAGATGTATAAAGCTGCAGTGTGCATGCCTCAACTTTGGTTGACCAAGCTTCCAAACTGTGGACAGGGCACCTCAACCAGTTAGTTTGATAAACCAAACCCAGAATCATATAGAGGTCCAGCAGGCAACCAAGATATGGGAAGGATGATAGACAGTAGAGAGTGGCAAACTGAAAACAAAACAGGTTTGTGTGCCTTGCCCTGTGGACTGCAGTTTGAGGCTCAGAGGGACTGTCTTGTCACTAAGGTTCCTGGTGGCGCGAACGGTTTCTACTCAACTACTAAGCTAAAGGTCGGCAGTTCAAACCCACCCAGTGGTACCACGGAAGAGAGCCCCGCCAGTTTGCTTCCATAAAGATTTCCAAGAAAACCCTATGGAACAGTTCTGCTCGGTAACACATGGGGTCACCGTGGGTTGGAACTGACTGGACAGAAACGGGTTTGCCTTGTCACTGTCCCTGCCCGCTTTCAGAATCCTCTTCATGGGTTGGCTGGTTAAAGAAAGCCAATGTTGAGTCAGTACCAGAGCCCAGTTCTCAAAAGCTGCCTGGCTGTGCCACTGTTTGCCTGAGAGGCTGCCTCTGGGGGTTGGACTATACATGGGGGGGATCGGACTGTTCAACTTCTAAGGACCTGTCACTTATAGCATTCCATGAAAGGAAGGGAGGCTCTGTGGGACAGTTATTGGCCGCTCTGCACGCCAGCTACTTTGCATGGGTCAGCTTTTATGAATTCTCCTGTGTTTCAGATGCAGAAGCTCATAGCTGTAGAAAAGTTAAGTGTTAAAGTGACTTGTCATGATCACACAGCTAGTAAGCGGACCAGTCCTTGAACCCACATCCCAAAGGCACACATCCTTCTATTCCTCCACACTGCATATGGATTTTGAATCTGAGCTGGTACTCCAAGGCTCCAAATCAGAACTGAATTTGACACCAGTAACAAAACCATCTGGATGGATGAGTTCACCAGATGGGCAGCGGATGGGAACATCCCAACGTGATGACATATGTGCTTCCTGTAAGAATTCATTGGGAGGAATTTGGTAGGGCATGCAGGGTTGGAAGATCAGAAAAAAAAAAAGAAC